ATTTAAAATTAATTGGAATGGTAATCATTTAAAAATGGAAAATGATATTGGCTTATTTACAACGAAATTTCTTGATAAAAATGGACAATTGTTAGCACAGTTTAGACTACAAAATAGTTCAGTATTTTGGACAAAAAAATATGATATGCAAATATTTTCAACGAAATATCCCGAACAAATCTATTTGTTAGGATTAGCTGCTCACGATCATACTTCTTCAGGAAAGAGACATGGATAAAATTTTATTGTAATAAACTATACAATTCAATAAATAATTTTATCAAACTGATATAAAAGAATGAATAAAATAAGAACAAGAATACAAATATTCTATTTATAGAAAAAAAAAAAAAATTTTGCCGAATGTCTACAGACAGACATTAGTTTTATAACTATAAAGGTGTCTCGGCTAAATTACAAAAAAAAACCTTCGAGGGTTCTATAACTTTCTCAAATCTTTGTGGATCTTTTTAACTTATCGCTAGATTAAGTAAAATAAAACTAACGAATCAGTGCGAAAACAGCGCATTGGTATGAAAAAGCAAATGCATAGTCAAAACACAAAACACTCTTCTGATAATTATACACCTTTGGAGAAGAGTTTTCAACTATTAGAGACACTTTAGTTTATGTAGTTTGTAATAAAGCTGCACAGAACAAGTGATTTCCATATCTTAATCTAGTAGAAATTGTATTTATAAGTTTATTATTGGAGTTCGATTTTATCTAATGTCCACGCCAGAATTAAAGAGAATTTGGTGTAAGGTCAATAACTTGACGACAACAACAGCTAGTGATCTGTGGTTGTCAGCAATAGAAAGATGAGAACTTCGGACGTCTTTTTGTCTGATACTATACAAGACAAAATTATTTTAAAACTTTCATTTTCGCAACATACGTTGAAGGCACAATTCAGATGATTATCTTCTCACATCTCAATGTTGAGCAAGCGAAATCACGTATGTATTTAGTCAAATTATATAAGTTTCTATTAATTTTTAGCAAATTTTCTGACATTTCATCAAAATTTCTTTGAAACGAAATACTAAGTTTATGCATGTTTTTGAATTGTTTGCAAAGATGATGGGTTTTAAAATAATTTTGTCTTATACAGTATCAGACAAAAAAATCTCCAGAGTTTTCTTCTTTCGATCGTTGAAATCCGTAGTTCGGTAGCTGTTGTCGTTGTCCAGTTATTGAGATTGTACCTACTCCTGTGTGATTGTAGCGCAGAGGGTACCCTATGTATTCATTAACATATACCAATATTAGTGTTGCTGAGCACATTTATTCGTTCAAATTTAATTAGATTTCATTGCAGAATAATTTTTCATAAAAATAGAAAAAATTTTAGTTGCTTTGGTTTATTCGATTCATCTTGAATTTGTGAACATGCCTTTATTATTTTTTGTTTGTAAACTTATCGTTTGACCTCAACAATCAATAAAATTTCATTTTTGTTTATGGTGCCATAAAAAAACTGGATATTATAAATTTTTTTATTTTGCTTGAGCCTACAATAAGTATTGACTTTTAAGTTCTGATTCATCCACAATTACATCACAGTTTTAATGTGGAAGTTAAAATTGTTTTATAAATTTTTCGATCATAAGTATAATTTTGAATTTTATTTAGAACCAGTTTGGTTATAAGCATTAATCAATATAATTTTCAACATTACTCAAGATTTGAGAGTAATCAGAATAATTCGTTATATTCATGCCATAAAAAAGTACGCTCGCACCAAGCATCAGCAAGCTAACATTCACTTGTCCCTTCTGAATGATGTAGGAAGCTTTTCTCTTTACCTTCAATTTATAAGAAAACAATGGTTGCATCTTCTTTACTCTTTTCTCTTGTTGCTTTGATTTCTTTATTCTTTCATTTCGCTTCTCTCGTTCGTTGATAGAGTAAGGATAAAGAATGAAAACAACAAAACGATATATATATGCTAATAAAAGCAGTGATGAATGTATAAGAAGGAATGGTGAATAACCTAATATGACAATTTCGTGTCTAAATAAAATACAGATAACTATACTGACAGGAAGCATTATCTGAATTTTCTCGCGACATATATTGAAGATAATTACCACTTTAGAGAATAAGAAATAGAATAGAGTAGTTTCAGTTTTAAAATACTATTGTTAGCTGCTCTTATTTTAAAGATCATTGTTGGTCATATAACGAAAAATATATTGTATAACACATGCATTCGTGTTCGCTATGTGAATACGATAAAAATTTAACTTTGTAGATAAATATATAAAAAAACACTCAAAGAATAGTCTATAAATACTAAACTTTTAAAGTGAAGAACCATGAAATACATATATTTTTATTTATTCTACAGAACATGTAATTAAATCAAAATGATTACTATTTCAACATAATTACATCTACTCAAAAAATCAAAAAGTTAATCAAGTTAATATGGTTGATAGCAGTAACTCGGGTTGATGATTAAAACTCAATTAAGTTTTTGACTGAAAAGTTGATCAGTTATAAGCCAAAAGTTATAACTCTAATTATAACTCAAGCAGTTTCAGCTCTCACACTGGGAAGAATAGTAAGAAGAACAATGGGAAGAGAAGAAGAAAGAGGGACATGAAGAGATGGAAAAAAACACGGAAGAAAGTAGATGAAGAGAGGGGAAGGTGAAAGATATATATATATATCCAGATACAAGAGGGTAATGAAATGAATGATGTAGATCTTCTCTTAAACCATACTAGTGCGCCCACACTCACCCTCTTTAGATTAATCTATAAGAAAGGATGATCAAAAACATGGTTTGAGATCCAAAAGTTAGGTATAGGTAAAAATTGTATTGTTCTTCAACATTACACTTTGGCGATTTACAACAGCAATATTTATGATCAGCATAGTCAACTTGATATTCCTGGTTACTTTGGAAAATTGAATTTTTTGAAAAAGTTTTCTCAAAGTTCTGAGCGAGGTAGAGGACTCATGATCCTCAAAGTCACTTCAAGACAAATGACTATGCTAGATTTGTAGCCTGTATAGACTTTGTTATCGCCATATAACTATTTCTTAAAAATATCTTGGGTCGAAAAGAAGCTTTAACACTCATAGTCCTTTTCTACGGATACAATGCTTTTTTTGTAACTTTGACATATTTTTTAGGGTTTTGGAAGATTTCATTGCATACTTTCATACCATTTCAGGTAGTTGTACTAAACCAAGTTCTGCCTCTCATCGTATGATCACATAAACCACCGCCATTACTATCTTAACTCAAGGTAAATCCTTAGATCATACGACTTTTTCGTTATCGTCATGAATAAGCATCACCAATATTATACATAGTTTTTGCGAGGATGTTAATCATACTTTTTCGTATAAAAGTGACTAGATTGAGATCTCTGCTTTGTAAACTTCATATTAATGAACAAATTAGTGAAAATCTGTAGTTCATATAGTTACACGTTGGCGAAAAATTTCAAAGTTTACTACTGGAATTATGTTCGGTGAGACAACAGTTCTGTCAAAGCGAATATGAGGAGAATGAGCTTGTGCGGTCTTGAAGTTTTATATTGAGCACTTTCACACTGCTTTTAACTCCGATCGGTATTCTCGGGAAATGTACGTTTTTCAAAAAGAAGAGAAAGTTGGTGGTAAAGTCATACGATCTTCCACAGTTACTCTTTTACTTTGTTCTAAAAGACTAGTGCAGTAAACCAACGTTCAAAAAAAAGATAAAAATCATCTAGACTTCGCCTGAAATCAACTCAATGTTTAAAATCACCCTACTTACGCTGCGAATAAAGTCTTGGCTACTGCTTATCTTTATTCATGAATGAGAAATTTTGACATCTATCGGTCAGCAACATATAGAAGCTATACCATCTGAACATGCTCCAGTTAATCGGTCGATAGCGTTAATGTTTCTCTAGTAAGAAGACCAGTCGCTGTTTGCTTATGAATGAGCGTTTCCTTTTCGTTGATTTAAGTAGAGAAGTAGATCAGGTCAACGTATCATTGATCGACTCGAAGGCAAAACATACCTCGAAATGTCAGACTTCGGATGTTGTTGATTGATTAAGATATTTGTTCGTCTTCTTTCTCTTCGTCTGATCCTTTGCCGACCATTAATCGAGCGTTTCCTATATTCTTCTATTCTTCGTTACTATCTGATCGATTTTATTCTACTTCAACTCAACAAGAGCAATCCACATTTCTCGATTTTTTAAATGGCTCTCGAATATGTCTAGAAAGTTTGTCAATATCCATCAGTTCGTCTTTTACGCAATATGTCACATAAGTACAGGAAATATATCGGTATATGCACGTAAAACAGATGCTTCAATGAGCATGATCGAGAGTTCAGAAGAATATGGTTTTAACGGATCAGTCATACGCCATGCTCTGTTGCTTATGATCACAAGAAAACATCGGAGATTTATCAGCCATATTTTGAAGGTGAGTGGATAAAAAGAAGAAGAAGAAGAACATACACATTCATCCATCATCAAATATGAACGCAGTTGAGTTCTATATCAACATATATTCAGTCTTAAAATACTCCTTTAAAAAAACTTTCAACACAATCCATGCTAGATTAGTGTGTAAAACATACGGTGGAAATATTTAATTCATTTCTTTCCAATATGTTCGATTAAATTCCGATTCGACCATTTGCTTACTGAGATATTGTTGTCTTCGATTCTCAATTGGAAAAATTTAGAAAACAAAGAGTTATTATACAGAAGCAAATTTTCGAAAAACATGGAAATATTTTCACATCTGTCAAAGCTATACACTGTTACAAATTGTTCTAAAGTCACTTGCAAACCTCAATTGTTTTTGCCTTATTTCATTAAATCAGCTGAAAATTCGATAGATCAAGCGAAACTTTTTTTTATTAAATTTTTAAATATTTAAAATAAGCCATTCTTAATCACAATATGAAGCAATCCAAGCATACTTGCACATGCTCTTTTTTATCGTTCTGTAATACTACAGATGAACACACTCTACTACCATACAATACACTTGTCTTTTCGACTATTTCCTTGGCCCGGTGTGCACCCAAATGCTCGATCAAATTGATCGAAATTTGATGTTGGAGCAATCACTCTAAACATCGCAACCAATTTATCCATCATCGAATTAGTCATGAGAAAAAAAATACCTGGTTGGACCCAATGAATGAACATCTGTCCGAAGTCGATTAAGTGCATGAGCGTTGGTCATCTTGATACACCAACTCTTAGCATAGTTGATAAAGAATAATTGTTCTGAAGAATATTTCTGAAGACCAGGTAATCTGTTGTCAACATTCTTATTGTTTGCTGCCCACTTTTGATAAGCCTAAATCAAAAAGATATTTTCTCAGATGATGATATTCAGGATCACATAGGCAAGTGACAAATTTATCAAACCATCTCGAAAACGTTGCATAATAGATTAAGGCATGCATACTAATATCTCAAATATACTTACAAAAAATGCTTCTCTAAGGCCACCATTGTCAGCAATATCTTCGCCTTGTGTTAGATTTCCATCTCCCTAATGAAAGATAAAAATAACAGTAATTTATTCAATTTAACAATTTTAAAATGGAAAACTGACTTTCATATTGATCTGTGTCACTGTATAGTTGCTGTACTGATTGATAATACATGTTTTGCGCTCGTTAAACTTTTTGATTGTTTCATCCGTCCACCATGGAATTCTATTGCCATCTTTGTCGAATTGCCGACCAGTATCATCAAATCCATGTGTAATCTCGTGCCCAATAATGACCCCGATACCTAAATTAGCACATGTGATAAAAAAATCCCGATTGAGTTTTCCAATGAACATAAAACATCATGGACTAAATATTTTTTTAAACAAAATATTTGTCTTTTTCTTTCTGCTGAAATGTGAAACTCAGGAAAAAATCAGAATTTTTCTTGCAATAAAATTTAGAGAAGTCGTTACTGTGCATTAACAATTTATAATAAAAATATTTGATTTCAGCCTATACATTTTTGTAGAAAAAAAAGAAGGTTTTTTAATATAACGTATTCTATTTAATAACATTTCTTGTCTTCTCTAAAACAAATTCTGTTTGTCTTTTAACCTCCCAAGTCTTTTCAATATTCATGTGAACGATTGTAATACACTATTTTTCACTATTATCCGTTTTATTTGAATGCATAAAAGAATGTCAAATATTTTGTAGGAAAATTTTCGGCTGTGCTGCGATTATATACATTCAAACTTTAATGCTTACCACCATAATTGAGATACCTAGATGATAAATAGAATAGTTGAATCAATTACAAGACAATACAGAAAGAATAATTACTTGGGTGCATCTTTATTAAAGAAGGGAGTTTGTAAAATACCAGCTGGGAAACCTGAAGTATCAGAATAATACTTGTATACAGTATAAAGGTAATATGAAAGATCAATAAACATACTAATTTGATTTTTCGATGGTTCATAAAAGGCATTGACAACACTGGGTGCAGAGTAGTCACCCCATCCGTTTTTGTCGACGGGTTTTCGCAGTAGTTGAAAACTTTTCTTGACATTTATTTCAAGTATTTTGAGAGCGTTTCTAATGTAGGATGAATTGAAGTTGTACTATATTAAAAGAAACACACGCTATAAAAGAGAAGTTCATTTCTCGATTGAAAACGTTTATCAGAGCAGTTCCTATAGGACTCAGAACAATTTTACAATTGTAATAGAGAAATTTCATAATACATTTATGATAGTCTATAGCGAAGTCAACGTGACAGGATCTCATATATAGTTCAACATTCATCACATTACTTACCTCAGCATAATCGTTTTCAAGTTTTGTATTATTATCGCTACCCAGATAGTCAGGATAACCGATATGTTGATTCATAGTTTTGGCCTATATACTAATACTTTTGTTTTGATCTCCATTGATTTTCTAGATTTACCTTCTCGATGGCTTTTACTTTCGATTCAGCATCCATCCAAGTAGATTCATTGAGCATTTCGAGAAAAGTATTTTGAATATTGTTTATCATTTCAATAGACTTTAAAAATACCAAAATATTAAAAAACACGATATACGTTTGAACAAACCTCATTGAGAGCATTTTCATCAAAATATTTTTTAATGTAGAGTTTTGAGACAGCAAAACCCATATAAGCATTGGTCAAACTTCCACATTCTACGTCACGTGGCCGTTCGGCATTCGTACCATGAAAGATTCGATCGAATCGTTGTCTGATATTTCGAATCTGTTGTGACATTAGTGAAGTTGCGCCCATTATGAAACGCCAAACTATGTAATTCTGTATGGTGCGTGGTGAAGCTTGCTTAAGAATCAATGATATATTATTCAAATACTCGACTTCACTAACGGCTACAATGTCCGTGTCTTGTAAAGTCACGTTGCCTAATAGATAGCAACGACGAACATAATCAGTAAAATCAAACTATATCAAGACAAGATAGTACAGAAAAGAAGATAAAAGAGAAAAAGCAAAGAGAAACTGACTGTGGTATTGAATGTGAATGATAGATTGCCGACTGTAGTTCGAACAGTTTCATTAAAGCGTGCTCGTTGTTCGTCATTTGTCCAATGATACTATGCAGAACAAGTTTAGTGGAATTAGTGTATACATGAGAAAAAAAAAGATATTGATTACCTTTGCAATATTCTTTTCAAACTCAAATATATCATTTACATCCTGATCAATCATTGATGTGTCATTTCCTAATGCATTAGCCAATTCGCGTATTAGCTGTCGATAAGCAATCGTGACATTGGTCTCGCTGGCATAGTATTGCTTTTGCCCTAGTGCAAGATTACTTTGTCCAACCTATAATGGTTAATAGGATCTGTATTTTTAGTGACATGAAAATACCATCGAATTTCTGTGAATAAGACACTAACTTAATTCTCTAATACACTAAATGTGTAGTTAGTATCAACTATTCATATTTAGGTTTAAGTCTAGACGACATATCCGATATTGTTGACAGAAACAATTGTCTCCATGTGAATGTAGTGCTGATGATCTATTCAAAAAACTTGAACAATGCACAATCAGAAGCTCTTCAACACCCAGTAAAGTTTGATCTCTTGAGAAAGGATGGGGACACATAAGACCAGAAATTGGCTCACTGAATTTTCTTCAACAGATCGTTCTGGAAACTATATAGATTCATAATTTATATACTATTTTTCTGCTTTTTTACAATATCCACTTTTTAAATTACGGCTCCATATATGCATATACATATATGACTTATGTCATATGAAATCACTTCAAACCTTAGCAAATCTATCTCACTATCAAGACATGTCAAATTCGTTAAGAGTCGACGAGAATATTAGCATAATAGACATTTGACAATTTATCAAATTATAAAGCATCTATCACTCGTATACGTCATGTTTGCATCTCATATCTCGATAATATCTTGAGAAAAGCAGAACACTTTTTCATGAGTTTTTTTCTACTGCAGTTAGAGATAAGCTACATTTTTACAACGATCCAAATGTGTCAAGGTTTCTAGGCTGGTCAGTCTGGCAATCCTTATATCATTAGTCAAAATGAGACAAAAATCACTATTTTGGATCATTATTTTGACAATATTTTGAGATAAGCAAAATATCTGCTCGTGATTTTTTCGATATAACTAAGAAACAGATAGGCCCAGAAAATAACGGCAAATGGCATGGTTCATCATACTGATCACTATAGCTATGGTCGAAATTATGATAAAAGGACATGAGTTGCAAATCATTCCCTCGATTATTTGTAATATATCTCGAGAATGGAAGAATATCTATTTTTCATCTTTTTAGTAATGATAGAGGGTACTTAGGCTTCCAAGCATGATATGAAATAGCAAAGATCATTATGTCAACCACTTTGACTACGATCAACAAGAATATCTGTGCGTGATATTTTTCTATGTAGTTTGTGGGTAGTCAGACACATAATATGACATGAACTAGTGCTAGTTATTATGTCAAGAATTTCTGATATGCTGGCAGTAATGGTAAAAAAAGCGTAAAATATGCTCTTGATCGATGACTGTCTCAAGGATATCTAAACATAAAGACGTTAGTCGTTATTGAATTTCTATGTATCTGTACTATACGTAAGCCCGTGAAATCAGAGTGTGCATGGATTTGTGCAACTGTATAATATATTCGCTTAAAAGGAACGTTAAGCTGGCTTCAAAGTAGGGTATACCTCGAATACTTTAGATATTTAGTAGGTGATAGAAAAACTAGGTGTACTGTGAATAATCAAAACTACAGTTCTCATCACTATGTGCGTATCTAAGACAAGAGAGAACACGTGCCACATTTCATACGAGTATTGGATTTTGCGAGTTTTTGGCGCACTATTTCTAAATTTCAGGGAAATCCTAGCTCACTTAAATCCTGTCCAGACAACCATCAGCCTTATAAGTGACTAAACTAACAATTTTTTTTACAATTTGTAACTTTTATCAAGATTCCATCGAAAAAATATCATGTAAATCTGTTACAGTCCAAGATCCATACAGGCAACTATAAATAGCATTTTTATATCGAATATAATACATAGATCTTAATCTACCGATCAGACAGGATTACTTATTTACGTATTTTAAAAGGTTAAGCATACTGCTCTTTTAAATGAAAGATATACCATTATTCCATGTTTTCTTCATTATTATCTTTGGAATCATGATGATCAACACGATAACTAGCACTAGTTCATGTCATGCTGTCCCTGCTATTTCATATTATTTTGAAAGTCTAAGTGCTCTTGACTACTATGAACAAGATGAAAAACTGATTTTTTTCGATTCTCGAGATATATTACAAATAATCGAGAGAATGATTCACAATTCATGCCATTTTATCATAGTTTTGACCATAGTTGTAGTGATCAGTATGATGAACCATAACATTTGGTGTTTTTTTTGGGCCTATCTGTTCCCTAGCCATAGTAGAAAAACCACGAGCAAGTATTTTTCTTTTCTGAAGATATTATATATGAATGATGGATGTTTTATAATTTGAGAAGCTATCGAATGTCTATTATGCTGATATTCTTGTCGACTCTTAACGAAATTGACATGTATTGATAGTGAGACAGTTTTGCTAAGGTTTGAAGTGATTTCATATGGCATAAGTCATATATACATATACATATATGCATATATGCATATATAGGGTCGTGGTCTAAAACACGGATATTGTAAAAAGGCAGAAAAATAAGTTAGTATTTAAATTATGAATCTATATAGTTTCTAGAACGATCTGTCGAAGAAAACTCAGTGGGCCAATCGCTAGTCTTGTGCTCTCTGGTCCGTTGGAGATATATGTTTTTTGTTTCTAGACGCCTTTCTAGAACACAAATAGACACCAGAGATTTTCTATAAAATTCCAACTATGGCCCTCAAAAAAACAGCCAGCTCAAGTGAGTCAATTAGCACATTAATTGGCTCGATTACCATTTGAATATTTCGACAGTCCTATGCCTACATCTATGTTGATCGATCGTTAGACGTACTTCAATGTTGTGCACTGTTGAATTTTCTTCATTGACTGCTGTGTCTACTCGGTAGATAATATTACTGTAATATTTTCGCAATTGAAACAAGAGATCTGGTAGATCAAATGTTGAATTATCCCATGATGAACCTTGAAGTATGGGCCAACCACCAAATTCTGTGTTGACCAATAAAAGAATAGTATTAACACCATTAGTCTCAATTTCTGTGTCATCTATGCAGGAATTGTAAAAGCGACGAGCATTGACAACAGCTTTGGGCTCGTTGGCATCATTCGCAGGCGGCGATGATAGGAGATCTATGATATTAATAGAGAAACAATTCTAAATAAATTCCTTTTATGCATACCGACAACATTATAATCCAATTGGGTTCGTAACAAATTGAAATTACTCTGTGCGCTTACTAGAACAAACCAATAAATAAAAAATTTCTATTAATATGAAAGAGAAGTTTCTTCTTACCATCATCTGGTATTCTTGTATTTTTAATCCATGTTCCACAGGAAAAATGGAAAAAATCTTCGCACGGTTCGACAGTTTCATCAATACTTTCAAGTAGATAGTTGGCTAGAAAGTAGATGATTATATTTCATTGACTTTCTTAGAAAAGGATATATACCTGCTTTAACACAATACGGGGTCAAGCATACATCTTAATTAAACAAAATCACACAACCATAAGATTTCATTTTTAAATAGGAAAAATACCGTTTGTAGTTGTTGTGAATGGTAAAGCTCTTTCTACTGTTGTTGTTATTTTTCTGGTTTTCTCGACGCCATAAAGTGTACTGAACACAATTGTAGATATGACAAAAATTCCAACAAGGGATCCGAGTAGTTTGGCAGGTGTCATAAAGCGAAATCCAGTATTTGGCAGCTGACTATAATACAATAGATTTAACTTGCACTGCTGTCAGGCAGGTAACTAGAGATTGTTTTTAAGAAGGAAGTCCGCCACGGTGAAAATAGCTTTGACCGTATAAACGTGTCTTTTTTGTATTCTTTCAGATAATTTTCCACGAAGAACTGAGACCATCCATTCTCTACTTGGTGGTATGTTCCTCTGTTTTATGCCTCAATGACTATTTCTTCCGTTAACACATCAGAATAAGAATAATACCTGTACATACCTTCTTGTTTCCAAGAGAGACGAGTCTGTCATCTTTACGATTTAAGACTGTTCACCTACGTCAACTTGCTTGAGAAATTTCAACTAAAGACAGATTAGATGTTTTTTTTCAGTATGTCCTTGGAAACTCAATTAAGTACTAGCATAGGAGATATTTGAGATATAGAATGTGAATGTTATTGCGTGTGTTAATGCAGTATTTCTAATATCCCAAATGTCTCCTATATCTTCTGTACTGGTACTTAATTGAGTTTCCGGGAGTACTTGTAGATGACATTATATGTAAAGACAAGACAACAGTTAATATACGTGTCTTGAGGCATGTTAAGATACCATTTAGACAGCTTTTTCGAATATTTTAGAAAAAGAAACAATTAACATATCGTGACTGTCTCAACGAAAGTTGTTTGATGTATTTACCTTATGAAGAGCCGTAAGTTAAAATTTTGTTACTAACTGCATGAAGTCCTCTGGAATTATCTTCTAATATAGCATTTCGACTTACGTTAGAAGTAGAGTTTAGGCAGATCCATTTAAAGTTATGAATACAGTCAATGTCCCTAATAACAACACTAAAAAAATTTTCTTCCTTGTTCGACTCGGTTCTCAGCTATTTTACACTCGACTGAAAATACTTTCATATATGCATAATCTATGGAGTTTCCTCTTTCAAATGGTATAACAGCGGTCTTTCTCTGAAATGTAATGGCGGAGAAATCAGCGGTCTACGATAACGAACTGCTACTGTTGTTATTAGGGACAGTTTCCCTAATAACAACACTCAGCTAATTTTTGTCCCTAATAACAACACCTCCACCGAAATTGGTGTATGAGTGTGCATAAAACAAAAACTAATTTCCATTTTAATAGCTTGATGGATTGTGATCATTTTTCACAACTTTATTTCATTTTTCATGATAGGTCGATTTTTTGTGCCTGGGGTACCCCTCAGGTATTCGAAAAAATATTTTTGTTCTCGTTTGAGTTCTCACATTTATAAATCGATAGAACTCAGTGTTCTGATTACGAATGTTATGTTATTTTTCAAAATTCATCGAGTAATAAGAAAAATCTAGACCATTCAAGACAGGCATAAAAATCAGTTTTTGGCTTATAAGACCATTATTATCGGTCTAAAACACGTTGGAAATAGGCTCATTCGACGCAGAAGTTTTTTCTCTATCAGAATATATATAAGGCTTTAGGAAACAATTATGTTTTTCAATCGATAATTATCGAATACCGGGTCCAATGGGTCTCTATGGTCATTTACTATGATTTTTTCCAGCTTGTGGGAATATAGTTTACTCAGGTACATCATCGAGATTTTTTTACCACAAACATAATTCAATGAGCTCTTTCTCGTAAAACTATTTTCGACTTGAAATTTAAGAATAAAAAAGAGGTCAAAAAAACACTGTTGGGGACTATAGAGCACCATTAGGCTCGGTATTCAATAATTATCGATTGAAAAACATAATTGTTTCCTAAAGCCTTATATATATTCTGATAGAGAAAAAACTTCTGCGTCGAATGAGCCTATTTCCAACGTGTTTTAGACGGATAATAATGGTCTTATAAGCCAAAAACTGATTTTTATGCCTGTCTTGAATGGTCTAGATTTTTCTTATTACTCGATGAATTTTGAAAAAATAACATAACATTCGTAATCAGAACACTGAGTTCTATCGATTTATAAATGTGAGAACTCAAACGAGAACAAAAATATTTTTTCGAATACCTGAGGGGTACCCCAGGCACAAAAAATCGACCTATCATGAAAAATGAAATAAAGTTGTGAAAAACGATCACAATCCATCAAGCTATTAAAATGGAAATTAGTTTTTGTTTTATGCACACTCATACACCAATTTCGGTGGAGGTGTTGTTATTAGGGACAAAAATTAGCTTGGTGTTGTTATTAGGGTCACCTATTTTTTGGACACTGTTAGACATGTTCCTTTTAGATTTTATATCTCATTAAAGGAAATTTTTTTTCTCATGAACCTTTAGATTTAGATAGAGTTTGACATGCTCTACAAAGTTGTCAGCGGAGTCTCTGCTTGTTTTTCAAAGAAAACGCGTAAAAAAAAGTTTTTTCTCTTAAAAAGTCTGATTTGGCTTAAATTTTGCTTAAGTGTTGTTACTAGGGACAAAAAATAGCTGAGTGTTGTTATTAGGGAAACTGTCCCTAATAACAACAGTAGCAGTTCGTTATCGTAGACCGCTGATTTCTCCGCCATTACATTTCAGAGAAAGACCGCTGTTATACCATTTGAAAGAGGAAACTCCATAGATTATGCATATATGAAAGTATTTTCAGTCGAGTGTAAAATAGCTGAGAACCGAGTCGAACAAGGAAGAAAATTTTTTTAGTGTTGTTATTAGGGACATTGACTGTATTTTGTATGCAAAAACTTCAAGGTTTGCGACTTTGACTCAACATATCACGCGTGCATACATCCTATTCATACATTTAAAAACGTCAAAAGTCTACTTCAATCGTGACTTGAAATATCATGAATATATTAAGAGAGAAGTATAAATAGTCATCTTATGCAGTAGGTGGCATCAGTTGACCATATATTTTATTATAAATATGGAATATCACCTCAGAAAATCAATAAGAAACAAAGAACAGAGGACAGTTGATAAGAGGTAATAAGAAAATTCAAGGATTGGTATATTTAAGAACAGGTGAAAGTGGAAAACCTAGAGAAATGAGTGCTATTATACAAACAACGTTGACAAAAATGAAAGTGTCATTATAGCTGAACAATGATCCTGGAATCGTTAAAATGAACTGAAAACTGAATAAAGATAGAAGAATGAAGGTTAAAGAGTGAATGAAAAAACAAAGGATAAAAGTGTAATATCATGTCCAGCATCTTTGCCTATGTAACACGAGAACAGCTCTTTTTTCATGTTCTTCTACTGGACATATGAATAACATGAAACAGTTATTATGAACGTATACTGAACTGGATGAAAACATTTCACTAGATACCGATATTTATTCTGGTGGAAATGTATTATAGTAAAAAATAGAACGGACATCACAAAAAGAAGTCTATTCTCAATAAGTCTAAATCTCTCATTTGAAACAGAACCATTCAAAACTTCTTTCGATTAAATTGGCAGTGTTGGTAAACAAGAAAGTCTTACTTGCTTCGTCGTGTCACACTACCAAAAGGGTACTACTTCAACGAGAAATCTATGACTTCTGTCATTTGGAGCACGGAAATACTTTTAAATAAAAGATGGATGAGACTGAAAAAGATTATTAATAGTATAATTGACCAAGATTTCTTCATATGCAAGAAATATTTTCGAATTGAAACAACATTCAAAAGTCTTACCTCTAGTAATATTAAAACGAAGAAATGGGAAAATGTAAGAACTGCCTACATTGCTGAGTTGTTGTAACAAGCTCAAGCATTTGAGAGTGGCTGGATGACTGGTTAGAGGTAGTTAAAGAGAAACTTTCACAGGTACACCCATCCAATCATATGAAAACATTGAAAAAAAAAGGTCAAGATATCATCAAGAGGTACTATTAGTCTTTCTCTTGTATAATCATGTTTAGTTCGATGCTTAGTAGTGTTCACCAATACATCGGTGTAAAAGTGAAATATCGGAAAAACAGCATAAATAAACAAGAAACCAAAGTTCATTTTGTTCTAGCTATCGCGGATGCGGATATGGTGTGAGTCTTGGTCAGTGTTATCGATTCCACCGCAGCTACATCCTCTCTCCGCATCCTATGACTAAGAAACAAATCGATCACTGGTCGTGGTAGAACAGAAAAAAAAAGAACTTTCTCGGTGAAAACATATTGATGTGATCGATTCATGCCTGATTTTTCTCTACAAAGTTATATTGATCATGGAATATATAGGGTAGAGTGAAACGATTCTATACAAATTTTTGATGACTTCATTTGCAACGCATATAACTTTTTTTATTTTCCATTATGCATGCGCAACTTTTGAAAGACAGGTAGAACAATATTTTCTCTATCTAACTGTCAAACTATTTTCAAATCCGACTTACAGATGCATATCTTCTATTTGTTTTTCGACTGTCTCGATCGACGTTTTCTATTGCCTCGTATAGGACTATTGGATCAAAACGTTAGGCTCAACAGAAATTGGACAACTGCATACATTTGACACGAAAAAAGTAAAACTAACTTTTCTCATCAATAATATAAGATTGGTTCGTTGTTCTTGCACAGATTAATAGAGGATATTGCATTCTACAAATGGGGAAAATATTCCTCTTACAATCACTAAGCAACCTGAGCTCTGTTAGAAATAATAATATATAGACAAGAAAAAGTTTCGAAATTTATCCAACTTCATAAGTAAAAGAAATATATTACGAAAAAAACATTCGCTACTAATAATGTACAGGGTGTTCTCCTCTATCATTGTAGAAGAATCTCCAACCTATTGTCATTACCAATAAATGGTACGAGTATATACAAAATGAAAATTCTTTTCTTCTCAAAAAAGACTTATGAAACTTTCAACGAGTTGCTCGATGTACATTGACATTATCGGATAAACGAATGTCGAAAATTCAAATCAACAAGGTACCTTCTCAATATCATAGGTAGAAGTAACATTTAGTTTTTGCTTCACTAATCCATATCATGATCACTACTTCCTAGTGAATATCAAAGCAGTTTATTTGCTTTATTTTATGTGGTTTACGTGATCCTTGTGCAAATATAATACAACTCGTCAAAAGATATTGTTGCTCGTTGTCAATGAAATCAAATCTTTAGAAAAAGCTAGGTTTCTAATAATAATTAATGAATAAAATGAATGAATTTCAATCATGTAAAAAAAAAACTAGATACTTTTTAAAATACTAAACTATCACAATGGCAGCTTGGATTGCTTTTTGTGTTGCCGTCCTTGACATGTCGCAATAAAACAACCTTGGTAAGAATATTTTCATTGAAGTATCGTGTTTGAAATGATATTTTGTGCATATGGAGATTTTAGTAATAGTAGCATACCTCT